GCAGGTCGAGGCTGTGGTGGCCAGGAGCGGCCACTGCACTCCAGTCTGGGCGACCGAGTGAGACTCCAACTCGCAAAAAAAAGACAGACATGATGACACTACTGCCAGGTCCTGTTTTGTGCAAAGTGCTCTACCCTTGTACATCCTTCTGGAAATGCTTACTAGGCAACACTTGCATGGGTTTTCTGGTCTAACTGCTTTGAACCTCGTTGTTAGTTTTAAAGGACGTCCTTGGGAGGATTGCGAAGCAGTCTGGTGAGCTGGAGAGCCATGCAGATCGCCTTTACGACTCTATCTTGACTTCTCTGGACGTGCTGGCTGGTTGCACCCTCATCCCTGACAAAAAGCCCATGGCAGCAAAGGAGCGCTCATGTGAAGGGGTTTAACCTGGTAAGTAAAGGAACCCAAGAAGAAAATCTGCCCTCCAACCCCAGTGCTGATTAGGGCACAGTGTTCCTTAACAGTCCACTACTTCTTTGAAGCTTGTTGAGCCATAGCTATCAAAACCATGTGATATGCTGGAAGACGACAGCCTGGAAAAGGAGTCACTGGTGCTTTCCATTACTCAGTTTCACCCTTGCTGCCTGCTGAAGATGAGGGTGCCCCATGTTCCCACCTCTGTATTAGTCACTTCACCACCGCCATCACCACCTCAAGGCAAGAGCAGGCAAGAGCAACTTCTGCACCTACTTGGTTTCTGCACAGTACACTTGTCCCGGTGGGCCACGGTGCAGCCACCCCACCCTGTTCTGCAGGCTCTTCTTGCCCCATTTGTTGGATACTCCATCTCCAAGCATCTCTGACAGCACCAAGTGCCCACAGAAGTCCAAAGTTACTGGTAACTTGGCCCCACTCCTGGCACAAAGGGTCTCTGCCAATTTCCCACACTCCTTCCAAAAGGGCTAGGGGGAACAGATGGGGTGACACGCCTCAGAGACTTCCCACTCTCCCTTAGGCTGGAGTGCAGTGGCATGCTCACGGCCACCACAGCCTCAACCTGTTGGGCGCAGGTGATCCTCCCGCCTCAGCCTCCCAAATAGCTGGGATTACAGGTGCATGCGGCCATACCCGGCTAATTTTTTGATTCACTGTAGAGACGAGGTCTTGCCAAGTTGCCCAGGCTAGTCTCAAACCCGTGGGCTCAGGCAGTCCTCTTGACTCCACCTCCCAAAGTGTAGGGATTACAGGCGTGAGCCGCCACTCCCAGCTGACTACTACTACTACTCTCTTTCAGGCATCTTCTCAGGCAGAAATGCAGTCCGTCAGCCAGAGGCTAGCTGGTGAGAAAAAACTTCACAGAAGGCCTTGCAAGAGCCAGTCAACACTGAAGTCAAGGGGGAAACTTAACTCGAATATACTAGCTTTAAAATGCCTTTCTCTTCCCTGAAGTGAGGGCTATTGAGTTACTATTTTTATTTACAACGAATCCTTCCAAAGTAAGGTTTTCCTTTTGGTGCTTCTCTACAAAGAGCATGTGGCTTTACAAGGTTTTTGATAAAATAAGACATACCTTTCCTCCTCCTCCATCAGCTAAAAAAGAGCAGACAAAGCTCCTAGACGATTCCTTGAGGTTGTTTACCAAGCGCTGGTATGAGAAAGAAGGTTCCAAATACTTGATATTCTCGGGCATACAAGAGGACCCAAGAGACTGAGAAAATGAATGGTTGGCCAAAAACCTTGGGTCTTTTCATAAAATGAAATTTGTAAATCTCTCTAGAAGAGACTTTAACTCTTTGCAGAAGAAAAGGGTTAAATGAATAGCACCTCTAGAGTTTACTTTGGGCAATTATGACACCTTTGGACATCTTAAGGGTCAAGGCTCTCCTCTCCTGCCTAATATCTTAGAATGTGTCAGGGACTTGGGGAACTGCCATCATGCTTCAGCATGGCTACAGAGCTACCAATCAAGCATTAGCACCTATGGGAGGACTCATCCTCTCGTTCCTACTCGGAAGAGTCATCCAGGGACAGGGAAGGGAATGGACAGGATCACACAGCCTTGGTTCAGTACAGAAACTAAAGCTCTCACTAATGAAGGAAAAAAGGGAATTCTTTGTTGCTTGGGAGTTGACATATACCTTAATAGAAAGAAAGATATACATATATATGGATCAACAATTTAAAGCACCAGTTAACTGCTGGTAACTGCTGATTATACAGAAAGGCACTTTTAAACAAAGTCCTGTTTGGGCCATGAATGAACCTGGAAGGAGGCAAGCACTATCATAACAATGGTAACTAATGTCCTATTAATGTGACTTTTTTGCTTCAGAGTTTCTCAGACTAAGTGTCACTGGTAAATAGCTGTTAAATTCTAATATTTAAACATTAGCTAATCACTAGCAGCTACATATAAAGTGCAGTATTTCAAATATCTGCTATCTCCAATGGTATGATCTGCCATAATGCTTGAGGGCACAATCAAAATTAAAATGTCTTGAGTCTGCCGGAGTCTGCCATCTCCATGTTAGTCTTAGTTCCATGTTATGATGAGATTTTTAAAAGACGAAAACAACTATGCTAGCAAGTAAATAACAATTATAAATATGTATGTCAAACACCCTTAAAAAGCTAGAATTGGTTCAAAAGGCAGGTATGTCTAAGGGCCTCTGTTCTTAAATTGATAATAGTTCAGTTTCTCTTTGAAGTGGCTATAAATAAGAGCATGCTTTTCCACTGAGTATGTTACAGAATAGCCCTTGAAGAATTAAACCTACTTGTTTACCAGTGTGTGACAGGCATCAAAGTAAGTTTTAGTTAGCATAAAAACTGAAGATGACAACCCTATGGAAACAAACTGGTCAACATACCAATTAAATCCAGAATGTGGCAGTCTATTACGATTACACCCTAACAATTAGCTTTCGCTGACAGGAACTTTCACAGAATATTTTATTGTGCAATACCGTTTCTCAAGGGTGGGATGAGATACCTAATGTTTTGTTCATCCACTTTGAAATGAGGTGTGACAGAAGGGTGCTAGATCTCTGAACTTGAAGAGTATCAGCACAACTTAATTTTCTCTTCAGCCATGCTTTAATAAGTTTAGGACAGACCTTCCTTAACAATCAAACTAAAATTGTTTCAGCCTTTTAAGAAAGCTGCCAGCTGTATTTACATGAGCAAACAGGGCCAGGTTAGACTCACATAGCCTCGCTGGCTGGTGCCACTCAGATAAAATTTCTTAGCAGTCCCTTGAAATTAATGGAATGGGAGTTTCAGAATCTGGGCTCTTGGGAACACAAAGCGGATCTCATGTAAGATACGCTGGAATGGTAACATGAAAGGGAAATGTCAATCCAAGGTCAAAGAACAGGAACCAAAATGGCTACCATGCTGTTAGGATTTCCCACAGCCTGTAACTACTTAGGGTTTAGAACACTCTTCACTATGTAATTTATGGCAGCCACTTACATCTCAAGCAAGTGATAATTCCCTTTATTAAATGAAGAGAGTATTGAAACCCATAGCCTTGAAATGTTTGCACTTGAAGATGGGGATAGAAATGGGAATATATTTTTTCAAAACTGCATTTATTAGCATATACATAAAAGCAAATATAGTGAAGCATGCTGAAATATGTTGTGGTAAGTCCCCGTCTTGACTGCCATGGGGGAAAGAATGCTAGAATTTTCCAAACTAAGTCTGTAAATAAATATGCTCACATCTTAAATTCATGTAGTTTTCTGCTAGAAGAAATAAGCTGACAGTTGGAACAACTTTTGCTGTAGAAAATTTAAGTGCACGGTATCACATAGTCTAACATTTGTATCATTTAACTACTTTAGAAAATAGTTCCTGAATTCTTTTCCCCTTTATACTGTATGATTAAGGCAAAAAACAAAAACAAAAACCTTTGGAAGCATTAAAAAAAATCTTCGCCCAAGTAACTACTGGTAACTTCAGGAATTTGTCCGTTTTGCCTTATGTGAGGATGAATAGATCCAACAAGCACGCCTATAATACAAAGTAAACTATGATTTTATTGTGAAATTCTCATAGATGGAAAATTAAATTGAATATTTATTCTGTTTATTTCATTTTACAATAATCTTACCACTTATTTTTGTACCATGTATTTCAGTTGCCTGTTCAGTGAAAAATAAAATAAAAAATAAAAAAAATATTAATTTTTGGCTTGTTTTTAGCTTAAATTTTATCATTAAAGTAAGGACCCCACAATAAAGTGTGTTTGCCAGCAGCCACATCCCAAGCCCCTATGTGAAGAATGCGTTGGCTGCTGGTTTAACCTAAGGAAAGTCTTTTATTCTCTTACCACCTTAAAATGCCAATGTTAGTAGAAGACTTTTGTTCCCACAATAAAAACCCTAGGATCTTCACAGTCCTATTTAACAAAATCTTCATACATGCAAAATTTCACTGAAATAAATACATTTCCCTCATTTATCATTCCCACCCAGCATTCATCTTTTCTGTTAAATTTTAGGGGTATAATTTCTAAAGTTAGGGCAATCAAATTTCCTGCTTTCTACCTCTATGCTTAAACTGTCCTCCAACATAAGTTACACAGTTGTGGAGGATGTAATAGTTGAATCTGACTGAGAGCATGAAAGAAACATTAGCACGCATGTTAGTCTGATCATTTGCCAGCTGGGAAAGGTATGCTGCTTTCCACCTCTACACAAATAAACAAAATGTTGATTAATGAAGCCATTTCAGATCAGAGATAATGGACTAGATAGCATACATTCTAAACTTGTTTCCCATACAGTTTGAGCTCCCTGAACCACTAAAGCTGGTTAAATCCCTACACAGCACAGAAGCTTCCTAGGTCATTTATTGGGTATATTATCTAGAAAGCAAATAATGGATGCTGCTCTAACATAGGCAAGTCAAGAATACCTCAGTTGCACACACAAATGGCTGTTCGGAATATAATGCAAGGCTCTAGTTCCCTTTAACCATAAGAATTAAAACGATACTTATCACCATACAGTTTGATATTACTTCCAATAAGTACAATATTTATTAAACATATCTTCAGTTGTTTTGTTACATAGTGTGCAACAAATTACAATATTCTGCAGCCACAAATTATATGCAGAGTATGAAGAAACTATTAATCAGATAGTGTAATCTTTCCATTTGTAACTCTACAAGGAAGAACTAGCAAATCAGATCTTACATATAACATCTCACTAAACTTTATGCATGGAAAGTGACAGACACTGGTTGTGCTGTTTGATACAAAATGGCTGAACTTCATCTTCAGAAGACTAAACCCGACATCTAAACATGCCAATATAAACATCAAAACAAAATATATTCTAACCAACCACGGGAAACAGTCTGGTATCAGGAAAGCAACAAGGATTACACACATTATTTTATAAACCAGCACACAAAGGTTTAAAACAGTTCTGAAAATGAAGTTAGCTGTCTTGAGTCAAGGGAATAAAAAAAAAGTCAGTATTGACCATTTACAATCTCTGACCTTTGTGGAGACGGTAAGAATCTGTTGTAGTGCAGCTACATACAGTACAATTCAGGCAATTTTGTTTTTTCACTTGGGTTCAGATTGCAAATTCATTGCTGTGAGAAAAGGACGGAGGCAAATTTTAGCAGCAACCTCCACCTGACTGCTTGACCGGAGTGCTCTGAATTTTAACATTGGACTTCTCTGCACCACCAGCTGTTGCTCCAGGACCCATTCGTTTTTTAATCTCAGCTGCCATCGTCATGAAAGACTG